TTTAGCTGTTATCCTCCAGATCTCTACATCCTGAGTATCCAGGATTACATGCTTGAGCCACTGAGCCCAGCTGAGGGTCCCTCAAATAGAGTCACTCTTCAAGGCTGTTGCTGTGGCTCAAGTGATTAAGCACTTGCTTAGAAAGCACTAGACCCTGAAGTCAAACCCTAGTACTGCCAAAAACCCCCACAAAAACAAAAACAAAAACCACTACTCCCCACACAATAATCACAGCCACACACACATACAAAAAGCCACAGTAATTGCTTCCCCAGCCTGTGAGCTCTGGTGAGACTGTGATGGCTGCACTGGATCAGACCATCTCTGTGTCATGACCACCACCAATCCCCTCCTTGGCCTGGTGGTCCAAGAATAGTGGACCTGGGCTACAGATACATTCTTATGCAAAGGGGTCTCTGCAGATATGGATTTTGGAGCCCCACAAATAAATTGAATTTAAGACACTAGTTTCCTGGTTTTTGTTGTTGGAGGTACAAAGGTTTGAACTCAGGACTTTGAGCTTGCTAGGCAGGCATGCTACCATTTGAGCCATGCCTCCAAGACACTAGTTCTCAACTGTGCTGCAAACTGGAACCAACTAAGGGGGGAATTCTTATAACATGGGTGCCTGACTCCTCACCACAGAGGTGGGGCCCTTGGGCTCTGACAGCGTCTAGAATCCTGCTCTGGGAGCACAAAGAAACTTCTGGCTTCTGTTATTCATTTGGAGATCATGGGGGTCAGCTGTGCCCAGTTCTGCACAGGGCCTGGTAGGGGTGCAATGGGCCATTTGTGTCCAGTCACTCACTGCTGGGTGTGGCTGTTCCATACTCATGCAGTTGCTGAGAGCTAGTTGGGAGTCGGCACCAAGCCACAGAGCCTAGGCTGTTCCCCTACCCTAACATGGTTCAAAACCCCCAACACAAAGTGGTGCAGCAGAATCCCAGTTATAGTAAAAATCCTTCCTCTGCAACAAGAAGGCCTGCTGCCTGTTGCTAGTTCTATAACCAAACAGAGTCTGGAGCCATCCATCGTCTATCTGTAAACTCTGGGAATACCGTCTCCTTAGCAAGACAAGTGGAGAAGCAGAATGCATCAAAACACCAAGAAGCAGAAGCTATAGGGAAAAAATATACACACATTAAAAATTCCCATTGGTGCCAGGCACCTGTGGCTTATGCCTATAATCCTATGTACCCAGGAGGCAGAGATCAGGAGCACCACAGTTCACAGCCAGCCCTGGCATAATTCATGAGATCGTATCTCAAAAAAATTTTTTAAAAACCATTACAGAAAAGGGTTTTTGTAGTGGCTCAATGTGTAAGCCCTGAATTGAACCACAGTAGCAAAAAAAAAAAAGTTCCCTTCAATGGCTTAAATCAATGTAACAGTTCCTACTAATGTATAAAAACTATCATTTTGAGTATTTCACTCATGCAAACACATTCATCTGACCCCCATTCCACATCAAGTATTCAGCTGAAACCCTTTTTGTAACAAGGCATGGTGTAAACAAAGGGAAGGTAAAGGGTATTTGGATCATGGGAATGTTGCTACTGAAATGGAAGAAGTGATGGTTGGAAAGTTCTAGGTCAGTTTGGAGATGCTGGGAGGCTCCTTGTGCCTAAGTGGGAAGTGGCTTGAGGCAAAAACCCCACTTTATGCACTGTCCTTTTCTTTTTTTTTTGTGGGCTGGTGTTTGAACTCAGGACTTTGTGCTTGCAAAGCAGGCACTCTACTGCAAGAGCCACACCTCCAGGCCATTTTCTATTTTCCTCTGGTTAATTTGGAGATGGAGTCATGTGGACTATTTGCTTAAGCTTGTCTAGAACCAAGATCCAATCTCAGCCTCCCAAAATCTGGGATTGCAGGGGTAAGCCCTGGAACTTGGCTCCTGAGCAGGTTTTTATTGAAATTTAAGAGGCCTGGGGTGTCAAGACCCTCTGCAGGACCCAGCTCACAGAAGTGATTAACATGAAAGTTGAGAAACAATTAGGACATGTCTCAAGAATCACTTGACACATGGCTATGAGAAACCTACAGGGGAGAAAATTTCAGAGTATAATGAGATCAAGATGACACTGCAGTGAACACAAGACAACTCTAGGTCCAAGTAGCCCACCTTAGCCTGATTCGACCACAGAAGATTTTCTCTACTTGGAAGTATGGAAGGGGACATAATGCATTTCATAGTAAAGTTAATTTTCAGGAGGATCTCTGCCCCCGCCCCCAGGGGCCAGTGTCATGGCAAGCAATTCCCCAAACCTGCAGGTAGCTATGCATTTGCTTCCTGTTTGTGCTGTTTCCTTCCCCACTTTCCCAAGCAGCCATGAGGAGGCTCCTGTTTTCCCAGGGCAGGCAGAAGTCATCAGTCTGTCCAGAGCAGTTTTTTCATTTATTTTGTTAAATAAAAAGCCTTTGTGCTTCCCATTTATTCTCTAAAACTGCTGGTGGGATGAGGGGAAGAGAAAGAAGGGGGTGTGGCAGAGAATCCCTGCCCAAATGCCCATTGCATTTCTAATTCACCAGGCCATGGTGGGTTAGAGACCTTGTTGTATGATCTCCCACAGTGAGACTATTATAAGCAAAGGAAAGGAGAGGGGAGGGAGTTAAAGTTTAGGGAAGAGGCATCTAACTAAATTTTCAGCGTGGTCTCCATCCCCTGGTCCAGGCCTTGGCATGGTCCAGCTTGGTGCTCCACACCTGTTCCTCCCTTGACCTCCAGTGATTCACCTGCTACCAGGAGCACTGGGCTCTGGTCCATCCCCCTTAATAATATGTGATAATGACAATATAAAGGGAAGGAATTGAGTTGTTTAAGAGCAGAGTATTTTCATACCACTGAAACTAAATGGATATTATTCCAACTAAATTTCTATGAGTTTAAGATATTCATCGTAATTACAAACACAACCAGTAAAAAAAAAAAAAAACTAAAAGGAATACAGAAAGGAAGAAAAAGGGAATCAAAATGGCACAGTACAAAAACTCAACTGAAAGGGCTGTGATGTAGCTCAGTGGCAGAGTCCCTGAAAATGGTGCTTCAGGAATGGAAAGAAACAAGCATATAAGACAAACAGAAGCCAGACACTGCTGGCTCCTACCTGTCATCCTAGCAATTAGGAGGCTGAGATAGGGAGGATTCTAGTTTGGGGCCAGACAAGGCAAATACTTCAAATATTCCAAATACTCCAAAATTACCAGAGCCAAATGGGGGAGTGGGGAGAGGAGGCTTAAGAGGTACAGTGCCTGCTTTGCAAACACAGAGCCCTGAGTTCAAAGCCCATTCTCAGAAGAAAAAAAAAAAGACATATGGTGAATAGTTAAATGGCAGGAGCTAGACTTTCCCTCTCAGGAATTTCTATAAATATAAATGGGATAAACTGTCCAGTTAAAAGGCAGAGACTAGCAGAGTGGATGTGAAAACCTTGAGCTATATAAGCTACATTCAGAGAGTTTCACTTTGACTACCAAGATACAAAAAGATAGAAAGACAGAAAAATGTTGTTCTTTAAATCAGTATATTTCAGGACTATAGGTGTGGCTCTATCAGCAGAGCACCTGCTTTAAATGAGTGTATTTCAGTAATGAGAATATTATCAAGCAATGTACACTTTACATCAAAAAGGTCAGTATATATTGATAGAAGTTGCAATTCACCAAGATACAACAACTTTATCATAATATCCCCAAATACATGAATACTCCCAAAATGTAGGTAACAAAACTAGATGTAAAAAAGACTTTAACACATCACATCATAGATCCACGGTGAAAGAGAGAACTTCACCAACACTAAAAACTAGTCAGGCCTAGCAGGTTATACAGAACCCTGAAATCAACCCCAGCAAAATACACATTTTTTTCCAGTGCTCATGGAACAGTCTCCAGGACAGATCATTTGTTAGGCAACAAGTCTTAATACATGTAAAAAGACTGTAATCATAGGGTATTTTGTCCACTCTAGTGGAATAAAACCAGAAATCAATAGCAGAAGGAAAACTGAAAATTTATATACATGTGCAAATAAATAATAATATAATTATTAATTATAATAATAACATGTGCAAATAAATAATAAACTCTTAAACAACCAGAGGGTCAAAAAAGGTCACAAATGAAAGAAGATACCTAAGGACAATGAAAACAAAAACACAATAAATCAAAATTTACTCACACAGTGAAGTCAAATACACTACACAGAGGAAAATTTATACCTCTCCACACCTGTGTGAGAAAAGCAAAAAGTTCTCCTCTCACCAAAAATGAGATCTAAACCAAAAACTAGCACAAGGATGGAAACAATAAAGATTATGGCAGAGATAAATCAAGTAGAAGAGAAAAGCAAAAGAAAAATCAGTAACACCAAAGATTGGTTCTTTGACAAAAACTAACAAACTTGACAAACCTTTAGCTAGACTAGCAAAGAAGAAAAGTAAAGGAGTCAGGTAAATTTGAAACTGAAGTTGGAACAATACTGTCAATGTTGCAGAATAAAAAGGATTGAGTACTATACATCACTGCATGCCAGCACCACACAACTGAGTACTATTCAACCATAAGCAGGAGTGGGCACTGGTAGGAGTGAGAATTTGGACAAGCCTTGTGGATTATGATCCTACTTATAAGAAACAGAATCCATAGACACATAGTAGCTGTTACTAGGAGCTGATGGAAAGGGAAATGGAGAGTTAGAATTTCATGCAGAGTTTCTATTTGGGTGATGAAACAGTCAGTGGTGTTTCTTTGGGGTGTTGAAAAACTGCTCCCTGGCTGCCAAACATTCTGGAAATTATAATGGTTGAAACCCACAAATATATCCCCTAATCCTTTATTTTATTTCTAAAATACTTGTTAGAGGCTGGGCACTGGTGACTCTTAACTACTCACCTGGCTTATTAGTTGAGATAGGGTCTTGCTCATTCTCTGCCCAGGATAGCCTTGAACCACAATCCTCCATCCTCCACCTCCCAAATAACTGGGATTAGAGTCATGAGGCACTGTTCCCATTTCTTTCATTCTCCAAAAATCTGACTTGGAGATGAAAGAGGACAATACAGGTTTCCAGTCTGTATGAATTTGCTGATAAACATGAACTGGGTGAGTCTCTCAGGAACACCTCCCATATTTTTAAAGTGAGTAAGCAACAGTGCTTTGGATGCTGAAATGCACAGACCACACATAAAACAGCTGAGCACTGTAGGGTTTATTTCTCTCATGTAACAGATGGAGGGTGCTGGGCCAGTGATGGAAAGTCCAATGTTCTCTACATTTCTGTCTGAAATCACAATGACTGAAGACATGTAGTGCTCAACCGCAAGTCTGGTAGGACTGGAAGGTCACTGTTAAATTTAGGCCTGGAAGGAAGGTTCATCATTTCTGTCTTTATCTCCACAGAGAGCTGTGGACTGTTGGCCACAGAAAGAGGAAGCAGAGAAGAGCTTGTGCTACCGTAGAAAAAAGAAAATAGCTTTTGGAGGATACATATCTAGTCTCTGCGATTCAAGATTGTCCCACTGTGAGAATTCTCTATTTCTGAGAAAGCTCTTCCACCTTCAAAAGTCTCTTCTCTTGTGAGTGGTCTGATGCTTGCTGAGGTGTGGCTTCTGGCTAAAGGTTTTTCCACACTGATTGCACTGATAGGGCTTCTCCCCAGTGTGAATTCTCTTGTGCACAGTGAGGTTTGATTTCTGGCAAAAGGTTTTTCCACACTCATGACATTGATAGGGCTTCTCCCCAGTGTGAATTATCTCATGCCCAATGAGGATTGACTTCAGGTGAAAGGATTTTCCACAATGACTACGCTGATAGGGCTTCTCCCCATTGTGAACCATCTTATGGCTAGTGAGTTTTAACTTTGAGACAAAGATTTTATGACACTGACTACAGTCATAGGGCTTCTCCCCAATGTGAATTCTCTCATGCATGGTGGGGCCTGACTTCCCTGAAAAGGTTTTACCACACTGAGTGCACTTGTATGGGTTCTCCCCACTGTGACTCATCTCATGACTGGTGAGTCTTGACTTTTGGCAAAAGGTTTTTCCACATTGATTACACTGATAGGGCTTCTCACCAGTGTGAATTATCTCATGCTTAGTGAGGTTTGATTTCCAGCCAAAGGTTTTTCCACACTCATTACATTGATAGAGCCTTTCCCCAATGTGAATCATCTTATGTCCAATGAGATCTGACTTCTGGTGAAAGGACTTTCCACACTGACTACACTGATAGGGCTTCTCCCCAGTATGAATTATCTCATGATTAGTGAGGATTGACTTCCAGTGAAAGGACTTTCCACACTGACTACACTGATAGGGCTTCTCCCCAGTGTGAATTATCTCATGCTTGGTGAGGTGTGATTTCCGGCCAAAGGTTTTTCCACACTCATTACATTGATAGGGCCTTTCCCCAGTGTGAATTATCTCACGTACATCGAGGACATACTTCAAGTGAAAGACTTTCCCGCACTGACAACACTGGTAGGGCTTCTCCCCAGTGTGACTCATCTCATGCCTAGTGAGTTGACTTATAGCCAAAGGTTTTATGACACTGACTACACTTACACAGCTTCTCCTCAGTGTGAATCATCTCATGCGTGGTAAGGTATGACTTCCTGGCAATGTTTTACCACACTGACTACATTTGTAGGGCTTCTCCCCAGTGTGAAGTATCTCATGCTTCGTGAGATGTGACTCATTGTGAAAGGCTATTCCACACTGATTACACTGATAGGGCTTCTTCACAGTGTGAATTATCTGATGCTGGGTGAGGTGTGACTTCTTTACATAGTATTTTCCATACTGATTACACTTATAGGGATTCTCATCAGCATACATCCCACCAGGCTTACTAGGGCAATGTCTGTTTTGACATACATTCAACTCCTTGGCCTTCACTCCTAAAGAGCCTTCAGAATTTACAATCGGATTTGAAATATGGCTGGAACTCAAATGAATGGCATGGCCTAATATAACTCTCTCCTTAGGTGGTGTGTTGTTCATAGTGATTCCAGCTTACCACAAATGTCTGTCTTGTCTTTCCTCACTGTTCTCAATTATGACATTCACTTGCTGGACATCTGAAGTGAGAAAAAAGGAAAATAACCATATACATGAAACACATCTAAGCATTTCTATGGAAATTGTATGTGTATATGAAGGAGGTTCTTCCTGTCCTACTGGCATAAGATTTCATAAAAACCTCAAAAGGTATTGGCTTGTAAGTAAATAATTGTCTTCCTACTGACTTCAAGTAATAAATGACAGCGATAGATTTTATATTGTTGAACTGTTTTTCCTTGCTTCTTTCATCTAATTTGCACATGGTAGTATTGATTAAAATATTCACCTACAACCTAGGCATCATTTTCCATGGAATGTTTCTGCCTTGCCATTTCTGTCCCCCATTGTTTTTCTCTATTGTTTTGACATGCTGCAGTCTCCAGCTGTTCTTCTCATTATTATACTCTGATGGGCACAAGAATTTTTAGGACCAGCAACTTGCATGATACAAGTGAAGTCTGACTGAATGCCACCAGAACAGGAACATGACATTGGTACAGCATTTGCATCTGTATTTATTTAGCTTTCATTCTTACATGGGGAATAACTATATGTATCTAGGGAGTTTTTCAAACACAAAATATCTTCTTTCCCATTCTAGATGAAAAGAGCTTCCTACACAAAATTCTAATTTAACCTCACTAACTCTGTTTCTCAGAATTGTAAGTTTTTTCTTCATCCCAGTGCCCTGTACACCCACCTATGAAGCCCATCATCTTTATACAGTGCTTCTCAGGCAGTTTCTAAGACCAAAAGTCACAGTATCTCCCCCTATTCCTGGTACAGACACACATGCTTGATAATCAACTTCTCCTGAATGATGTTATCTTGTGCACTGGACTGTAAGCTTTCTCCTATTCTCATATAAAATGGAGTCTTCTCAGCATTTCTCCTCCTCTTTCTTGTTTATACTGATATCCACTAAGAAAAGATGGAAATTCTAATGACAAACTGCACTCCCAAACAGAGATGTGAGCTCAACATGAAATCCTTGGTTCACTTGAGCTCAGGACCAAGAATGTCCTGGCTTTTCCACAAATGCAGACCCATATGCTGGACCTTCCATTTCATGGTGTCTGACATCATGGTTCACAAGGGTAAGTCTGAACTTTTCTCATTTTCTTATCCACTCCTTATGTACACTGCTCTGTAAGTTTAAATAACAGCTTCAAACTACCAGTTTCCAAATTTGTGGTTCCAAGAGTGATACAGACTCTCAAAAGTAGGTCTTCATATTTACCTATTATGTAAAATTTTGAAAACAAAAACTAAATCTCAAGTTATGTCAAGATGAACACTTCATAATCCCACTACAAATGTAGCCTACTAGTACAATACTTGACCAGCAACCTCGAGGCCCTGGGTTAATCCCCAACACAGCAAATTCAAACAAACAAACTCCTCCTAAGACTGTTCTCTTTGACTATCCTTTTTAAATTGTGACATATCAAGATTTCTTTTCTTACATTGATGAAATATTGCTCATGGTTCTTATTTGACTACTTAAAATAAATTACCTTTTTGTTTTTCAGCACACTATAAATTTGAGGAAAGGCATTATTTTCATAATTTCTTACATCATTAAAACTATAAAACTGCCAGTGTTAAAACCAGCATCAGTACAATGTGATGAAGCATAAATAACTTATGAATAATTGTCAGACAACATTAGTCCATGAGACACCAGGCATGAGGGCAGGCTCCTGTAATCCAATCCCTAAGGAGGCAGAAGCAGGAAAATCTGACTACAAAAAAGCCAGGTTCTGTATCAGGAGTCTGTCTCAAAAAAATTTTTAAACCAGGTGCCAAAGGCTCACAACTCTAATCCTAGATCATCAGGAGGCTGAGATCAGAAATCTTGGTTAAAAGCAAGCCCCAGGCAAGTAGTTCACAGTACCCCACCTCAAAAATAACCACAGCCAAATGGACTGGAGTTGTGGCTCAAGTGATAGAGCACTTGGTTTGCAAGGGCCTGCCTTCTTTGGAAGCTCAAAACCCTGAATTCAACCACAGTCCTACAAAATTTATTAATAAAAATGAAATCGATTGGAAAAAATCTATGAAAATGGAGGGTGAGCCAACTCAGAAGACTGAGAAAGTAAATACTAAAGAAAAATATCTAAGAACAGGGTTTAGATTTGGCATAAAGGTGAAAAATATATGTCAAAGAACACTCCTTGGGGAAGGTAATTCACAGGTTTGATGTGTGCAAGCACAACATACTAGGGTCTGTAATCTGGAAGATAACCTGGTGACATCAGTGCAATATGCCCCACATCTGCTGGACTCCCCTCTAATGCCCTCCTCAATCAGGATGCACTGATGCACCTGGTGGGTTCTGGCTTAGGGGTTCTTTTCTCATCCATGGCTCTGCTCCTTGCTCCAGCATGAAGATCAGCTCAGGTTTGGTGATGCATTGCCCTGTTCATGCCAAACAAGGTAGGATTTTGTCAAAAAATTAAGTCAGGTATTTTCCCCCACTATCCATTTCTGCGATGATGGACATAACCAGCAAGGGAGCTAATAGACACAGCAACCATTTTCAAACACTTGAAATAGGACGAGTCTCATTGAGGAGCTACATTTAAATTTTGATTTCTTTCTTTTTTCTTTTATTGATGTATTTGCATATTATACTTGTACCAGGGGTATATTGTAACATTTATAAAGTAGTTATAACAAACTCTCCCTCCTCCCATTTTTAGAACAGTTTCAATAGGTCTCACTGTCCCATTTTCTTACATGAATACATAATACTTCCACAATATTCACTCCCTTTCACCCTTTCTTATGCCATACCAAACCCTGGACTTCTTTTACCTTTCTTTCCTTCATTCTTTTCTGCATATGATAGTTATATAGGGAGTTTCACTGTGACATTTCCTTATATACATATATGTATCATACCCTGAATTGGTTTATCACCTCCATTTTAAATCAGGTTCTTTGAAGCAAGAAAAACTATAGCTTTGGAACTATGCAATACAAGGGGACACATGAACTTTTCATGAGAGAGGGTGAACAACTGAGTCCTTCATGGGCTAGAACTGTGCACCTAAATAGTTTTCATATATTTACTAAGAAGACAGTGCTTATTCCTGAGGGCTACAGGGCAGTTTCACTCAGCCAATGACACCAGGCTGCTGTAGGTCTCCAGCATCACCTCCCTGTACAGGGTCCTCTGAGCATCATCCAGGTCCTGCCATTCCTCCCAGGTAAAGTCCCCAGCCACATCCCCAAATGACACCACTTCCTGGAATGCCATATTTCTTCTTAACTCCCCAGCCCTTGGAATATGGAAGTTCTGGTTTCTGCATGTGTGGGTGGGAGTGGCAGTGGATTCTCATACGCATTTTTTTAAAATGCAGCTGTTTTGTACTGTATAAGGTGAAGGAAAGTCACAGAAATGTACCACCATTGTAATAGCTTATTAGGTACTACATAGTATTAAAAATACTGTAATGAAGTTTACCTCACAAACCTAGAAACATATTTATACCAAGGGAATAATGTATGAGTAAAAAAAGGCCTGGTGGTAAATGGCTGTAATTCCAGCATGGAAGAGGATGATATAGTAGTATTGTTAGTTCAAGGCCAACCTGGGCTACAAGTTCTATTCTATGTACAAAATAAAATAAAATTTTCTCCTTCAAGGAGCTTAAGATCTGGCATGAAAAAGTCATTAAGTATGAATCAAAACCCACAATCTATTAGAGGAATTGATTTACAGCTTCAATGTAAATGAAGCAACGAAGGAGAACATGTATTTCTATTTGGCATGATTAGTCTGCACTTCACTGAAAAGCCTAGGATTCCTTTCAAATAACTAATAAACTAAAATTATGCACACAGGCATCACAATATTTCCTTCCTACACTCAAAAGATTGCTGGAATTTACTCCAGGCATCTCTGCCACTTCCCAATCTACAAGTGTACAAGATGTCAGGTGAGCAAACTCAGCAGATCTACATTCCAACAGTCATCCCTGGGAGGAGAATTGGAAAGGCATAAGGGAGAGTTAAAGGGTAAGAAACCAGAGTAAAACATCAGATCAAAGACAAGTATGACTGTAGACAGAAAAATAACCTCAAAAAGAAAAAAAAAGAAAAGGGCAGGAAAAAATTTGGTACAGATTTGTTGCACGAACATAAAAGATATTTTACTTCCAGATGATCTGCATGATTGCCAAAATTAAATGCTGGTGCCATGACGTGAAATGTGGAAAATGGAAGAAAAATATTATAGCAGGCCTGGTGCTGCTGACGCATGCCTGTAATCCTAGTTATTCTGCAAGCAGAGTACTAATTACTCTGGGGTTTGATGACATCCCAGGCAAAGAGATCAGAAAACACTATCTCAAAAATACCCAACAGACACACAAGAAAAGGAGAACAACAACAAAAGTTCTCAATATAAAAAAAGGACTGGCTGAGTACCAAAATGGTAGTGCTCCCACCTAGGAAGCACTAGGCCCTGAGCTCAAATCCCAGCACCACCACCACAAAAAAAAAAAAAAAAAAAAAAAAAAAAGGATCCAAGGATCCAACAAAGTGACACAGACTTGAACATATCCCATTTGGAATATCTGATACCACATTTAAGGACAGCAAACCACCAATTACATACATGATTCCAGAGTTCAGGAGAGAGACGTAAAGCTGAAGATGAAAAATTATGGAAAGTAACAGAATTTTAGTGCTGTTTAAAGTTATCACAGTGAATGAAATAGACTGTCTTCAGAGAAGGAAAGTATCAAGAAACAAATATAAGGAAACTAATATTTCCTGGTATATGACAAGAAATAGATTACAAAGACCAAGAAAGAATTTTCTGAGTTTGTCACCAAAATAAAGAAAAGCTCAATGTTAAGAACTCTGAGGCTTTCATGGTGGTACGTTCCTGTAATCCCAAGACTCAGGGGGCTGAGACAGGAGGATCATAAGTTCAAGGTCAGTCTGGGCTATATGTGAGAGCATGTCTCAGAAACAAAAAAGGAAAAAGGAGCTACACTAACAATTAAGAATATTCATAGTCTATGGATACAAACTCTTTCAATGATTCACATAGACACTGAGAAAGTTCCTTTTAAAATTTGACCCTAGACAAGGCATTGTGTTATACACCAGTAATCCAAGCACTGAGGGAGTGAAGGCCGGAGGATCAAGAGTTTGAGGCCAGTCTGAGCTACCCAGAGCACATAAGGCCAGTATGAGGTAAAGAGGGATCTTGCTAAAAACACACACAAATAAATGAAAATACAAGTACCATCCTGGTATCTGTTGAGCTTTAGTTAGGGTATGTAATGCCCTACAGGAAGAGGTATGAAAGGCTAGGCCCCAGCCCATTGTACAACAGGCAGGTGGTACAATCTTTAAGAGATCATGGAAGGTGTGCCCTGGAGCAGATATTTGAGACCTGGCCAATTCTTGTCACTCTTTCACTTCCTGGCTATGGAGTAAGCAGCTTCTTCTGCCATGAGCTCCTTCTATGTGTACTTTTGGGCCTCGCACAGGCCCATCGGCAATGCAGCCAAGTAATTTTGCACTGAAATCTCCAAAGTCAACAGACAATATAAATCTTTCCTCTTTTTAAGTTGATTTTTTCACATATTTTGTCATAATGATAGAAAGGAAATTTTCACTCCATTCCAAATCAAATACAGAGCTGAAGGAACTGAAAACACAACAACTCTTCCTGAATTCAAAAAGAAGCGCAGGAGACAGAGCACACTGCAGCCATTCTATGTCATTCTATTGCAGTAGCCTTAATAGAATAAAACAGCTGGACCTCCCCTATACCTTACCATATTACTAAATGTGTTATTTCTAACAGTTCCTTTTACTTGCTGTGTCATGTTAGGCTATGAAGAAAATATTTCAAGGCATACTAAAAAACAAAAGAACACAATGTGAAGTGGCAAAGGATGCATCGGAACCAGACATGGTATTATCACAAAGCAAACCTCCTTTAAAACTCAGATTAAAGCACTAAGGAAGTTAATGGATAGACTATAGACAGCATGGCAGGATAAGTGGGCAAAACCAACTCCAACTGTGTATTGGGTATAAGAACTTCATATAAATACAAACCCAGAAACCTGCCTCACACTTGTAATACTAGCAACTCAAGGCAGAGATCAGCAGGATCAAGTTTCAAGGCCAAATGACCAAATAGTTCTACAGACACTGTCTTAAAAATACTCAACAAAAAACAAGGCTGGCAGAGTGGCTCAAGTGGTAGAGCACCTGCTTAGCAAGCATGAGGCCCTGAGTTCAAACCACAGTACACCAAAAAATAGATAAATAAATATAAACACATATGAATTAAATGTAAATGGATGGAGACAGGGTGAAAGTGAACAGGGTACACTACATGCACATATGTGTATGGAAATGTCACAATGAAACAACTTTGTGAGATTAATATACACTAATTAAAGTTAATTTGAAAAATAAATAGAGAAAATATATCATGCTAACAGCAATCAAAAGAAATCAGGGGTTAGCAATGTAGCTGAGTTCTAGAGCAGGAGCCTGTAAAGTTATCAAGAAAAGGGCATTAGGTAATAACACAGTGATCAGTTCTGCAACATGTAACAATTCTGAACTTGTATACATTTAACAACACATTCTGAACCTATAGGAATACAAAATTATTAGAAGGGCAAGAGAAAGATGAACCCAAAAGCACAACTGGAGACTTCAACAATTAACTCTTAAAAATGGACAGAACCACCATCATATGATCAGTAATGACACAGCTCAACTCAGCAACAGGTTTGTTCCAGTGCATGTAATTGGCATCAATAGATCACTGCTTCCAGCAACAGATTACACATTCTTCCCAAGTGCACATAGACAACCACCAGCACGGACCACTTTCTCAGCCATAAAACACACCTGAAGAGATTCAACAGACTAGAAAGCACACAATGTCTTTTCAGACCAGAGTGGAACAAATAACAAAAAGAAAACTGAAAAACTCCAAATATATGGAGATTAAACAACATAGTTACAAATAGTAAAAAAAACGAACTCTCAAGAGAAATTTTAAATTTTTTGAACTAAATGAACATGAAAGCACATTTTATGAAAATCTGTAGGACGCAGCAAAAACAGTGCTTAGAGGACAACTGGTGGCAGCAATGTGTATAATAGACAAAAATAAGCATTTAGAATCTATAATCCAAATCCCTACCTTAGGAAAGTATGAGGGGAAAGTAAAAATTAAAACCAGCAAAAGAGGAAAAACAGTAAGAAGAACTGCAACTGGAATCAGTGATATTTTAATAGAAACTCAAAGAAAATCAGCAATGGAAAACAAGGGTTCCTTAAAAACATTAATAAAAAAATAAAGGCTAGGCACCAGTGGCTCACTCCTGTAATCCTAGCTACTTAGGAGGCAGATATCAGGTGGATTGCAGTTTAAAGCCAATCAAGGCAAATAGCTCCCAAGACCTTATATTGAAAAACCCTTCACAAAAATAGGGCTGCTGGAGTGGCTCAAGGTGAAGGCCCTGAGTTCAAGTACCAGTATCGCAAAAGGAAGGAAGGAAGGAAGGAATGAAGGAACAAAGGAACTAAGGAAGAAAATAAAGAACATGGATCAATTTGGGTTATAATAAATATATACATGGAAATGTCACAATGATACTCCCCGTATACATATCTAAAACAAAATCACTTTTTTTTTTCCATTTACAAAGTCAGAGAACTAGAGGACAGAACAGGTCCTCCCTGAGGGTATTGGTACCAGTGGGAGGGAAGGAGATGTGGAAAGGACGTGTGAGGGTGAATATAGTGCAAATTCTGAGTACATATGTATGTAAATGGAAAAATGAGACCTGTTGAAGCTGTTCGGGGAATGGGGGAAGAGCGGTAAAGGAAGAATAGTGAAGGCTAGTGAATTCAAGTATGATATATTTGAATATTGTACAAAATTTTGTAAATACCACAATGTACCCCCACCCAGAACAACAATTAAAAAAAGAAGAAAAACCTACTCCCTGAAAAAAGAAAACCATCAATAAAATTCCAAGTTATTGTTCCTCATATCCAGCTACTCAGGAGATACAGATAGACAGAACCAAAGTTTGAAGTCAAGCTGGGGGTTGTGGCATGATCCCAGCTACTTGCAAGGCTATAGGAAGGAGGATCGCAGTCTCAGGCCAGCCCAGCAAGAACCATGAGATCCCATCTGAAAAATACTAGAGCAAAAATGGCTTTGGGGTATGGTTCAAGTGGCTAAGAACCTGCTGTTCACAAAGGA